ATACCTTGTGGCTAATAGCCACTGATGGACCTCTGCTCCATATGCTTATCTAATTCCCTTTTGAAGCCGTCCGTGCTTGTAGCCGCAATAATATTTAAATTTAATATTGTTATTTAATAAATTTAATATTGTTATTCATCATTTCTTGACCTATGTTAAGATTGTATTATATTTATTGTGAGCCGCCCTGAGCCCACTTGCAGGAAGGGCAGGATATAAATAAAAATAATAAATAGAACATAGTGACTGTTGAGCTATTTTATTTTCATTCCTCAATGTTACCAAGAAGCCTCTTCTTTAAAAAAAAAAAACGGACAGTAAATTTTCGGTTGAGAATCAAGGCTAGAAGTGTCTGGTGGTGGTTATGGGACACTACCGAACAAAACTAAGATATGCTTTGTAAGTGAAGGCTGCATATCAAGTGATGGTCTGGGGGGAGAAAACAGAGGAGGGAGAGAGAGCGATGCCAATGCTCAAATTATGACCATGTGTGCTCACATTTAAACTATGACTATTTTGCATCCCAACTTTTTAATTCTGGAACAAGCACTCAAAATAGGTAAGGCTTTTGGACGCAAGATGATCTTGTCTCGCCAATCCAAGCTGCTGTAATGTTAAGACTGGATAACTGTCACACACTCTGTGTGGGGTCAGCCTTGACGACTCAGACATTTCAAATGGTCCAAGATGCAGCTGCATGTCGATTGATGAACGAAAGCCAGTATAAGCATATGGCATCAGAGCTGGAGCAACTTCATCTGTTACCTATTTGCTTCTGGGCTCAAATCAAGGAGTATTTCATGGCTTGGAGCCCACAAATCTTAAGAACTACTTTTCCTGGCATAAGTCTTTGGTTTGCCCACAATTCCCCCTTACTAGCTCCTTCTGTCCTTCTTTCCCATCTGTCCTCTGTGAGAGGCTAGGCTTTTGCTGGTGTTACCAGTCCCGGGGAACAACTTGCCAGAGATCATCTGGTAGTAGGCCCCAGGAAGAGGTTGTCAAGCCCAGCAACATATGAAAGTCTACATGAGAGGGCATGACTGTGTGATGATCCACCTGCCTAGGAGGCACCGTCAGCCAGTCAGCTGGTAGGGAGCAACCTGAAGTTCCCCTTTTCCCTCCTGTTCCATTCGATACCCTTTGAGGAAGGTATTTTGCTCAAACCCCAAGGAGAAATGAGCACCAGGAAACATCTTGGCAGGCACCAAGACCCCCATGGGTACCACACTGGGATAACTTTTCTGTAAGAATATGAGGCTCCAAGGATCCAGCTGGGGTTACAGATAAGAAAAGCCCTAGAGAGTGGGGTAACAAAAATTCAGCCAGCCCAAGCAGGTGACATCCTTGCTTCCGTGTTAAAACTGCAAGGGTGATTGACTATAAAACCCTCCTGTTTTTTTTTATTATTATTATCACAGTTTTCTGGTGTTGTTTAAAGTGCCGCTGGAATGAATGCAGTTGAGAGAGTGAGAAATCGCTTCTTGAAAAAAAAGATGGAAAGAAGAGAAAGGCTCCCCATCCTTTGAGTCTTGCAAGAGTAACAGGTGGCTGGAAGGGCTGGGATCCTGTTTCCATCCCCCCAAGTGTCTCTTACAGCAACGGCTCCGTCAGTCAGCACAGACATTTCAACCATTGCTCACGTGACGGCTAATTAGAATTCAGAATGGAAACTTGGCAGGGGGCGAATATAAAAGGCAACATCTGTTGAGACTGACTTGCAATCGCAACTGTGGTGCTGGAAGCCCATTGAAACCCAAATCCTTCTTTCTTTCTGTCCAAGAGGAGCCCTGTGTGTTCCTTGGCTCCGACTCTCTAATAAGAAAATTATCCCTAATCACAGATTCCATTCTTACTACACGTGCCAGAATCCTATGCTTTGTAATTTAGAACTTATTTCAATAGTACCATTCATACGGAATCAGTTCCATCCAGCTGCAAATGCATTAAAATGGATGGACAGGCACTCGAGCGGCCAACTGTTTAAAAAAGTTCAAAAGATAAATATTACTAGCTTCCAGTGTTCCCTCTAAGCTGAGTTAATGTGAGCTAGCTCATAGTTTTTTAGTCTCCGGCTCACACATTTTTGTCTTAGCTCAGGGAGGATGGCTCCAGAGCAAACTAATTTATACAAGCAGCCAAATTGCCCGCTTGCAACTTTAATGCCAGCAGCTCACAAAGTAGAATTTTTGCTCACAAGACTCCACAGCTTAGAGGGAGCATTGCTAGACTCATTTTTCAAATCAAATGTAAATGGATTGTGCAGTTGACAATGTTAAAAGAAACGCAAGAGGCTCAGGACAAAGGGAAACTGGCCTTTTTGAGGTCTGAAGCTAAACCAGAACCTCATCAAACACACAAAGGACAGAATAACCCCACGCAAAATATACTCACTGCCTTGTGATAGTGGATCCCACTGCCAAAATCATTCCTAACCTACAAGAGCAGAGCTTTTCCAGGCTTAAATAATTGATCATCAGCAACATGAATACATGGAATTGTGATTCACAAACTGCAAAATATAACTGATCCAAACCAGGAGAGCTTCATGAGTATTGCCAATGGGGGGTTAACTGCAGGTCCACATGCACATCCCCAGATCTAAGCCATATTTGAACTAACTGGGTTCACCTTAATGCACAGAGGGGTGTGCCTCCAGCTCCTGGGCTACCGGCTGTTAAAGTGAACAGCTGCCTATAAGTTGGAGTGCTACCATAGAGATTAACCTCTGTGATAACAGTATACAAAAAGAGGAGGAGGAACCATCCAGGAGAGGCCTCCTCTCTCTCCTACTGACTTGGTGCTGCATTCTTCAGGATGTTTACAAGGAAAAACTCCACTGAAGTCTGTAGGCTTAGAAGGGTGTAACTCTGCTTAGGATGTCACTATCAATACCTATGGGACCAGGATATTGTTGATCTGAGCATATCCTTTTCCCACCAGTCTTTTCAATGCTGTAAACAACAAAAAAAAAAACGGTTCATTTTGCCATGTAAACATGGAATTAATAACAGATCTCAGATTTCTTTCTTTATAAATAAGGCCCTGCCCTTTATGACCAGCTGTTTGGAACTGTGTAAACAATGAAATCTCAGGAACCAGGGGAAGTCAAAGAACAGGACTTCGGCACATTGCTTCCCATGACTAGGGCCAAACTCAATGCAATGCTGCGAGATCACTGATCAGAGTTCCTATGCCTTTGGAGAGGGTTGCTTTAGCAGCCACGGAAATGCCCCTATCAGACCAGAGCCAGGGGGAGGTTAATCCATGCTGTTGGCTCATTCTAAATCGCCCTCACCTGCTCTTTACTTTACAGAAGGAAACACTGGCACAATGCACCCGTATGTCTCTGTATGTTTTCCTCCAGTGGGGCAAACAGCAGCATAGAGGGGCATGTTTTAAACTGGGGAAATGGCAAGCCCCACCCCATGCCATGGTCCCATTCTGATTCTTTGCACTCCCGTAACCTGCTGAGCTTTGACGTTTTTGAAAAAAGCAGGACATCTAATCATAGATTTCCTAGCATCTTGTCTTGTTTGGCCAAAAGAGGCACCTATATTTGAATGGTTAATAAAGTCACAACCCATACTGTGTTCCTTGAATGGACTGCAGAATCCGGGGTCTTTAGTGCAGGATATTCACAGACCTGTCTGTAGGACATGCAAGAAGTGTACTTGGCTATGGTTAATTCAGACCGGTGTCCTTGATCTCAATATGACACCAAATACCGATTCTACATTCCATCAGGTCTGGGGGAGACTCTGCCTTCTTGCATTGAACTTTTCAGCCTCCTAGAAACAGGGTTTCAAGAGACTTTCTCTCTGACATGTTGGACCGACCATAGCACCTGGATGCTTCACTGGACTTCCCAGGGATTCCTTAGGGTACTTCTGTGCACCTTCCCATTGTGCCATCCTCTGCCTCCCTGCCCTGAGTAACACATTTCTTTCTCACTAAACATGGTCACTTCTTCCTTTGCAGTTGCAGCAAGGCGAGTGAAAGTAATAAGTGAAGAAGAAAGGAGCTTTAGATCATGGCAGCTGAGAAGTGCAGCCCACCAGATCTGCTTAGTGAAGACATTCCCCTTGTCTGTAACCAATGCAATCTTATTATATCGATATGATTATTTTCCCTATTCAACCACATAAGGCCTCCTTTTCTGTTCAGTCACTTAGGTGGCAATCCTGCGCACACTTGCTTGGGAGTAAAGGCCCGCTGAAGTCAACAGGACTTGCCTCTGAGAAAGGCATAGGCGCGGGCTGCAATACAGATGCAGCCACTTGGATGTCTGACTTTGGCTGCAGTTTTAGCACAGGAGCTGTTAACAGAGAACTACAAACTCCTGGAGACAAACAACATCACTCAGCAGATGTGTGGAAAGTGATTGCTTGGTCAAAATTAGTGCTTAGAATGGAAATGCCCAGATGACTGTATCGTTGGTACCACCCTCAGCCTCAACTGTAATATGCAACTACAAATATTTCTCCCAGGAATAAGAACAGCAGCTGTTGGACTACATTTATAGATAATCTCAAGGGCCTGCTAAGGCAAGGGCTGGGAGTAGTCCATCCCTCGTGCGCTGAATCTCTAGCACAAAATCCGGTCTCCTAAGATTTTTAAAGAATATTTAATATTACTAGCCCGCGTGGCTACAGAGAAAGGGCCTGGCACTATGCTGGCACCTGGGGAAAACCCAGAAACCAAAGGGGATGGAGCAGGTCACAGGGCAAGTCTTCAATGCCCTGATTAGATCCTGTGATTTTTATTTTTGTCTGTTGCTATGGCCATCTACCCAGTGCCGGCCTTTCCTCACAAAAGGGGTCTTAAAAATCTCTCTGTTCTTGGGGGAACCACCACTTTGGAAGCTGAAAAATTCATATAACTATGGAAATATCCACAAGTGTTTGGCTTTCCATATTTTGCATTCTGGCTGCTGCTGCTGCTGAATTTGGGACTATTTTAGAAGAGCACTAGGATGTAGGAGGGTAACTGGTAGAACTTACTTTTGGAAGGCAGTCTGCGTTCCTGATGGCAGCTACCATCTCTCTGCCTGCGGGGTGCACTTTTGCCACGTGCCCCCACATCCTTTCCCAAGTTTGCCCATCAAGAGGGAAGCCACTTTTGTTGACAAGGAAAAGCACCCCTCCATCTTTGTCTTCCTCTTCCGAGCCCCCGTTGTTGGCTGTACTGCTGGGCCGAGCGTGCGTGCTCCTTGAGCGGCCCCCCTTCTCTCCTTTGGGGTGGGGGCTGCGGGAAGCATTGGAGCTGGATCCTGTCATTGTGAGTTTCACAGGAGTAAACAGTCCAGACACAGCAGGGGAACACGGTTCTGTTCAATACCCCAGCCACGCCATCTTCTCCATCCCGTCTCCTGCCCAAGGAATCAGGCCAACCCGAAGTTGCTTGCTAACAGAAGCCCAGAAGATCACTGGCGGGTCTCTCCTCTTGCAGACAGACTCTGGAAAGCATAGTAGAGGGTGGAAAGCAAACACATGTGAGCAGAAGACAGGGCCACATGAAGGGCTGAAGCAAAACAGCTGATTCAGGGACACACTGGGAGAGTCCCTTTCTGTTGGAAGCTGCAATTCCTGAACAATGGGGGGGGGGCCCTTAAGGCTACGTGCATATCCTGTTCACCTGAGTCTGCAAACAAAAGGGGAGGCTCCTAAGAGCCCCTCTTTGATTCAACACCCCAGGAGCTCTCTCTCACCCGGGCAATAACAGGCAGCAGAGCTCCTTCACTCTATATATAACCGCTGGGACTGTCACACAAAAGGGAAGGGAACCTGCTCCCTGGCTGGGTCCCTCCCTAACCATATTGTCCCGACTCTCCAGTTATAATAAATCTATCACAGAGAGAGGTTGGGAAAAGGGGAAACTGCTACTATGGCGCGCTGGCTCCTTAGAAAAAGGAGGGTATTCAAATGTACTAGGCAGATACTTAAACTACATCCCTGCCCGTTTCAGGGACCGAGATCTCACACGTCCGTCCGTCCGTGTCTCTCCCCTCCTCCCCCCATGGGATTGAGAGGAGATCCGATCTAGCATCGCTATGCGCCTCTGCACGTTCATCCTCCCTCAGGTCCCCCTCCATGCGGAGACTGCCGGCTCTGGAAAGCTGGCATGCGACAGACGTTCTGGTCTGCAGCAGGTCGAAGGGAATTGGGGTCCCTTTCAGGCACCGAGCTCCCGATCCCAGCAACGAAGCATGGGACTACGGTACGGAATTGCCTTGGGAGTCGGGGGAGGGGGCTCTGCCAGTCGCCAACCCTGCAAGCCATTCTTCAACCAAGACAGCTCAGCTCCCTCCCACCCCCTTTGCTTTACTACGGAGGACCCCACCCATTTCCCCAAGCGGGCCGCGGCGCCTCCGCCGCCCTCACCTGGCCGCGACGGAATTCATTGCACCGGAGACTCTCCAGGCGGTTGTGGCTGATGCTGCTGCAGCGGATTCGCTCGCTTTCGCCTTATTCCATGTTCCATGATCAAGTGTTACTCTCTGACATGTAACCATGTTACCCGGCAGCCGCCGACGTTCGGAGCGCCCCCATTGGGCACCGCAACAAAGAAGGGAGGTGCAAAAGGGAGCGCCAAGCCTCTCGCCGCGGCGTTGCGGCACTCTGGTTGGCTGCTGATCCGCCAGCCGAACAAGGCCGGCCCGGGAAATCTGATCACTCGCGCGCTGAGAGCTTTTCCCCCGGAGTCAGTGGTTATTCCGAGCCCTGCGAGCGGATCCAGGCTCGTGCGAGGGCTGGTAGTAGATCACAACCTATAATAAGAGAGATCTTGACGCACATCTTTCTCCAGTACTATTGGTATTCTACAAATAACGCCGAAGTGTGTTTAGTTACCCAAAATAATTATGCCGTGATTATGTTGATTCACACACAGGCACATACATGCGTAAGTACACACATAAATCCTGGGTCTCCAAATTCGCCGTATTTATGTGTTTCTTGTCAAACAGCCCTGCTGGCAAGTAAACTTGTTCTACTTTTTAAAAACATTGTGTGCAAACAAAAAAAACAAAAAAAACCCACCCCAAAAAACTTCTTTTTGCTTCAAGCCCCCTTTTATTTTCAGGGGTAGGGCACTGCCCTGGAATGAGTACGGGAGTAACTGGAGGGTCTGCGTATGTGACTGAGACGGTCGACCAGACCATAAAGTTCACTCATAGCTTTAAAACTAACACAAATTATTGGCAGGTACTAAAACTAAGGACAAGCGATTGCCCATAGGGAATACATGAGTGGACAGCGATTGCCCTTAGACAATACATGAATGCCAATAGAGAATGCATGATTGCCCATAGAGGTGGAATTTGGCCCCACAAGTCCAAGGCCACCACCCCGGGGCTCAGGGAGGTGGGGGAATGTTCCCCCCACCACGAGGCTGTTGCAGCCTCCTAAGCGGCAGTGGCCATAACTTTTTAAAGAGCCCTGAAGGAGAGCTGAGGGAGCCAGAATGACCTCTCACTGTGATGTCCCAGCGGCAGAGGTGGAATTTGCCCCCAGGAGTCCAAGGCCACCACCCCGGGGCTCAGGGAGGTGGGGAACATTCCCCCAGCTGAGGGAGCCAAGCGGCCGCCAAAGCGGCTGCACCCATAACTTTTTAAAGAGCCCTGAAGGAGAGCTGAGGGAGCCAGAATGACCTCTCACTGTGATGTCCCAGCGGCAGAGGTGGAATTTGCCCCCATTAGTCCAAGAGACAGGACTGAATAATAACAAACAGCCTATAGTTGCACAGGTGACTCTGCACAGGCTTCCAAGGAGACTTTAATTCCTGTATTTACCTATGTGTACATGTAGCAAGCCAACATATATCAGGAAGCCAAGGTTAATGGTAACTTCCCAGTGGATGTATAGGCAGTGAAATGTGTTGTAAAATAGTCAAAAGTGTTTAATACTTAGACTATCAATGGATCTTGCTCTATTGGAAAGAAGAGATTTCCTTGCTTTAAAAAACCTTCTAAGGGTAAAAGGTATACGGGATTACTACAAATAAACATAACACTAACAGCTACATTTTCTAAGCTGCCTATAGTCAACACTAGCACACAGATAATGGAGAAACTCTCCTTCTTCTTGATCCCTAGAAAGGAAGTCACCTGAAACAAATGGCCAATCTGTATCACAGTAGAAAGCTACTTTTCCCGGCCTAATTCCCCATTGGCTCAGTGCCAGGTATCCCTTCCAGGTCAGTCTAAACAATAGCAATACTAGGCAAACAAGTTAACCCTATAATGACTGAATTGTCAGACCTTGTAAACACACCAGGAAGCCAAGGTTAATGGTAACTTCCCAGTGGATGTATAGGCAGTGAAATGTACATCTGTATGACAATCACAGGTAGGCATCTAGACATAAATATTTTGCATTACTTTCTATAAACAAATGTACTGGGTCAGCGAACAAACCTCAATGAGTTTCTAGAGAATGTGGTCAGTGAACAAACGCAAAGGAGCTCTAGAGACTGTGGCTATCAATCAAACAGCAGAACGGAATTTGTCACATTCACAGAAAAAATAAGACCAGCAGTCCTGGCAGAATATATATTTTAACCACTCTCCACCACCACCCGCCGCCGCCCAAAAAAGCTGTGCTTTTTGTCAACAGTCACATAGGAAATTATATTAATTTTTTATAATTTTGTCGACAAAAGCACAGCATCTATCTATTACCAGATGTCCATTCTCCCATGTGTAAGACTAACTTCATTACTTAATTTCTAAAATGTACTGCTGGGACTTAAATATGTTAGCAAACTGAATCTCTCTCTCCTGTTGTCAGTATGTGGAAGATATTTTGAAAAGTAAAAGTGGTCATTTTTGCTTCTGGCTATAATCTTAAAATGTGACTGCTAAGATTTAAAATCCCTGTGAAGTAGCCCAGTTGTGTTAGCTTCTCTTTCTGTCTGATGGGCAGTGGCATAATCCAGGGTTTACAAAAGGCCCATTATAGGGATCAGTGCATTTGATCTTTTAGACCTCAGATTCCCTTTTTAATCTATCCCAGATGGCTGATGAGGATGATGAAAAATGAAAGAAATTGCTGGAATCCAGAAGCTGCAAGCACTTCAGGAAGCAAGACTATTTGTATGCAGACATTTCACATTCTCATGGCAATTTTATACACCTCTCAATGGTTTTTTACAGAACTAATCATGATTCACACTGTCACTGTTATGGGCAAGTGATTGGTTTATCACATCAAGATCCTCTGGAATGCAAATAGTCTTACAGATATTCTGATACGGAAACTTTAGGAAAAGATAGGACAGCAGTGCATAAGATCTCTCCAGATTCTGAAACACTGAGGAGGAAAAACCATGTACATGGTCTTGAGCTCACTGGAGGAAATGCACCGAAAACATACATAAGACAAATGCGACCCATCACATGAAATGCCCCCAAATGTATCAACACATGCATTTACCACTTATGAAATGTGTGTTGCTTTCATCCAGTTTGAGTTCTCATTGACTGAAGAAATATTTCCTTGACTAATACTATAAGTACTAGGAGCTGGTCTCTGGGTAAGAGAACAAGAGGGCTTACGAAGGGCCTCACTAGATCAAAACTGAAGGGGAATCAGGTTTAATATACCATTTCCTGAAGTGGCCTCTCAGTTGCCCCCAGGAACCCCATTAGTAGGACGTGAAGACCACAGTGTCCCCTGTTGTTTAGTTCCAGCAACTAATATTCAGAGCTCAAATATTCATGGAGATTCATCCATTGCAAGAAGGTATATTCTAGCCTACCGTCTGAATATGCTGCTATGTGAAATCCTAATGAGTTTTATCAAAGTCTTTGACTCTCTTGCTATAACTTTGTGTTGTTGTTGTTCAGTCGCACAGTTGAGTCCAACTCTTCGCGACCCCATAGACCACATCACGCCAGGCCCTCCTGTCTTCTGTCATGCTCCAGAGTTTGCTTAACTATAACTTTACCCAACAGTAAAAATTATTTCTTACCAGGTTTACTCTTGAGCTCCTTTATACATATACACACCCAAATTACATACGCCCATATGCATACTCACTACAGTTATTATCTGGACAAATAACATTCCATTATTAATGTATTCAGTTGCTGGTCTCCAGATCCAGAAAGTATGTTATCGTACTTTCATTACATTAAATATATAGTACTTCAATGAAATCAGTCCAGAAAAGGATAGAAGGGGAGATCTCAGGCAAATATAATTAGATGTAGAAAATGTCATTCTGGGTCAAAGTTCATTATCTGCATAACACATGAAACATGGAGCTGGGAACCCTGGGTACAAAACCTTCTCAGCCTTGGATCTCACTGGCTGGACTTGGATCTCTCTCTCTCTCTCTCTCTCTCTCTCTCTCTCTGACATATTTATTCAGTCTGCAGAAAGAATGTTTGCTTATTTATTCTATGGAGTCATTTAATGAGATGGCCGGTGCTATTTTACAGCTTTCAGATACTTAAAGTCAGATTGAACTGTAGACAATACAGACCATTGACCTGACCAAGAAGTCAAGACTAAATACATTTGTATAGTTTGGTCCTGGTAAAAGCACCTTGTCCCTGACAGCTGCCTGATGCAGCTCTGGGCCTTCCTGGACTAGCAAAGATGTGGGAGGGACCTGAGAAGCCAACTGATGGGTCCACAGGGCAGCTGCCAGCCAAACAGTGCTGAGGGGGAGGTATTTGTGAATTTCCTGCCTTGACTAGATGACCCTGGAGGTCCCTTCCAACTCTATGATTCTATGATTCCTTAAAGGGCAGCAGCCCACGCCTCAGTTCAAGGATGAGCATTTCCAGATGTCACCGGATATGGGGGTATGTGTGAATGGGAGCCAATATGTATGTGTGTTAAGTGCCATCAAGTTGCTTCCAACTTGTGGCAAACCTGTGATTAATGACCTCCAAATGTCATCATTAACATTCATGCTCAGGTCTTGCAAACTGAGGGCTGTGGGTTCCTTTATCAAGTCAATCCATTTCATGTTGGGTCTTCCTCTTTTCCTGCTGTCTTCAACTTTTCCTAGAGTTATTGTCTTTTCCAGTGAGTCTGGCCTTTTCATAAAATGACTAAAGTTCAACAGCCTCAGTTTAGTCATTTTAGCTTCTAGGGAGAGTTCAAGCTTGATTTGGTCTAGAGGCCACTTATTTGTCTTTCTTGGTGGTCCACACCATCCATAAAACTCTCCTCCAACACCACATTTCAAAGGACTCTACTTTCTTCCTGTTGGTTTTCTTCATTGTCCAGCTTTCAAACCCATAAATAGTAATGGAGAATACTATAGTATGAATCATCTTGATCTTGGTCACCAGTGACACATTCTTACACTTAAGAATCTTTTCTTTTTGTAATTTGTTTATAAAAATTAAAAAAAAAAAGAATCTTTTCTAGCTCCTTCATGGCTGCCCTTCCCAGTCTCCCATCTCCTTCCGATTTCTTGGTTGCTGTCTCACTTTTGGTTGATGATGGAGCCAAGGAATGGAAAATCTTGAATCATTTCGATTTCTTCATTGTCAATCTTAAAGTTGTGCAATTCCCCAGTTGTCATTA